CATCCATCCATCCATCCATCCATCCATCCATCCATCCATCCATCCATCCATCCATTTTCTGTACACGCTTCTTCCTTTTCAGGGTTGCGTGGGTCACTGGTGCCCATGTTTTGTAAAGGATTGCACCATATAAATGATGTTGCTACATTTATTTGGTAAAATGTTTCGCAATGAAAACATCAGACTGTGTTGATTTATGCATTATTTTCATTGGCGCCTCACCCCTCACCAAAGCGATTGCTCCTATTTGTCACTGTCACAGACACAGACAAGCAGTCTAAAAATTGATCATTGCATGTGAGCTGTAGTAGGTGGCTAATCAGAATATATAGCCTAGAGTTCCATGCAAAAGTCTTTAGTCTTTTGTTTTTCTGTATATTTTTCTTACAATGACCCAGACTGTCTTGCCATTGATTAGTGGTCCTGAGTAATAGTTCTTCAAGATCTCCCTAATTATTACTCCCCTATCAGTCCAGTTTCTTTTTTCTGATACTTTTTTCTTGTAAGTAACTTAACTCTGACCTACATTTTACAACAAATTCAGGAGCAAAAGCCAGACACCCCCCCCCCCCCCCCCCCCCCAAAAGCGAGTGTCCACAGCTCCTCCTGGAATCATTTTGTTACCAGCAGCCCATCAAGATACAATTTGTCTTCATTTCTTTGTTCAATCCATTTAAAATACAAAAGATAGCAGATTTTGACTCATAAAATGTATTTCAGGACCAACATTTGATGGGAAGATGTATCTCACAGGTCCATTGTCAGTTTTTTTTCTGTATTTCTTCTTTTTATTCCTGTCTCTTAAAACATGTCTTAGAGATACTGTCCATTTGCTGATAGTTTCTTAGACTTGACATTTAGTTTTTTTCTCTTCTTTTTTTTGTTCTCCACTTTTCTCGTTTCTTAAGCACACACTGCATAAAGCCTGGGTTATAGTCGCGCTTTGTGTTGTTGCGCAAGCTCCGCGGGGTGCACGCGCTCCTGAGCCGCACGCTGTGTGAAAACATAGTTGACGTTCATGTTATCGCTGTTCTTCAGTGACCGACAGACGGCAGTACGGTGCCAAACCAGAGGAAAAGTAGTTGGGAAGAGTGTAGAAGAAGAAACGCTTGACGTCACACATAACATTGTAACAATATTTACCTCTTTTTTTTTATATTATCTGTTTCTCTGTGCTTCACGAACTGAGAGAGCAGCACTGGTTTGTTTCCTCCAGGATCACAAACCGGTCGCAAATATACAACCATGTCATCCGGCATATTAACTCATCTTTCTTTAAAGCCGTTGCTATTTCCTCCTATGAGTTTTGTGCCATCTGGTTGTCTTTATGATCTCTCATGGGGGGATCATACAGATGCCGGTACATTTGGACCTGTTCAGCGAGATCACCTTCGCGACGAGTGGCGCGCAGTCTTTGCGGAGCTTCAAAATTTCTGAGGAGCACGACCACGCGTCAGGACATGATGCTCGGGGGCGGGGATGCCGCGATTGCGTAACTTTTGACGCAAACCCCCTCCCGCCCTGTGCGTTGCGTCATCTATAACCTAAGCTTCAAGTGCTGTCATGATCAGGCAGAGAAAATTGTACAAACTCTGCAGGTTATTTTTGCTCTCTAAAGCTTTTGAAGCAAATTCCAACCCTTGTATTATATTTTCTTTTTCTCATGTTTCTATTTTTATTTATTTATTTATTTATTTATTTATTTATTTATTTATTTATTTATTTATTTATTTATTTATTTATTTGTTTGTTTGTTTATTTGTTTATTTATTTTGTCATCTTTATAACTACATTATATTTGTTTACCCCAGGCTACTGACAGGGACACCAGAAACTTCAGTGCCATGGCATACCGTCTAATAATTCCACCGACAACAGATGGCCAGGACAGCTTTGTCATCGAGACCTACACGGGCATCATCAAGTCGGCCATGATGTTTCGAAACATGCGCAGATCCTATTTCAAGTTTGTAGTTGTTGCCACAGATAACTATGGAAAAGGTTTCAGCAGCACTGCTGACGTGGTGGTGAGTATCCATAAAAGAGCATTTACCAGATTAAATACTGTTTATATGAAAGGATTATATACTTCTTTATGTTGGCTTACATGTCAGTGACATGGCAAACACCTATTGATTTATTCTCTGGATGACTTCAGCTGCAGATAGCCACACAGAATCCCACATCTTCATTTTTTTCTGTCTTACAAATCCTCCAGATTAAATCATTTATTGCACAGTGGTTAATATTTTTGTACTTGACATTTCGAATAAGATTTTAGTTAAACATGCATCTTGTTGGGCAGTGAATGTGTCATATTTTTCAAATAGCATATTGGTCTCAGATACAGAATGCTCTCTCCTACAGGTTATGAAAAATTTGTTTTTAGTGAAATTTGTTTAGCAAGGATTTTTTTTATCCACGATAGGAAAGAGCAACAAACATTTTTCAAATTAATTAGAAACTTGTAATGCTTGTCAAAACCCTGCCGAGTGGCCAAAGAAGTTTAAGGTTTGTGAATAATTTCAAAGAAATTGAAAATAAATCGGATGCAGCTGGAAATAATTGGGTCAGCATTAAAGAATGATTTGTTTTGTCACATCACAAGATGATACAGCAAAATATCACTTATTTAGAAGGTATTCGTAAGATTTCTTCCACCCATGTATAGATCCAGAATTGCTCCACAGTAAAGAGACAGATGAGGTGTAAGGATAAATTTACTCTAACTTCAATAAAATGCATGCTTTTTATCATAATCGTTCAGTAAATATTTATACTTTGTTTAACTTTGTTTATTTGGTGCTAAATGTTTTAGCTCTAGTCCCTTGAATAACTCACATGAGGTACAAAACACCTAAAACTTGGCCTCCGCTACTTTCTTGTGATCCAATTAAAGTTTTTCCTTCAGCCGCTATAATAAACTGTAAATATTGTGTGCATATGCCTTTCCTGAGTGTTTGTCCTTTTTTCCCCCTAATAATTTCCCCACACACCCGCTGTTTGGGTGCTGCTTTCCCCCTAAATCAGCGCTTATTTTTCCCGACTGTGGGCAGGCATTTTTTTTTTGTATCAGTGAAATATGTCTAGCTAACAAGTCTCTAATGAGACAGAAGGAAGGTCTGGTACATCGCCTGAATTTGAGAAAGCAGAGAGTGCATAACCACTGCACTCGTTAATTTTCAAGGGGAAACCTAATTTTACAGGAGCCACATGGGAGCTTTGGCTTCAGAGCACAGAGGCCGTTGCCTATGCACTTAAGTGTGGCATCAGAATTATATCCTGTTAAATCTGCTGCATGGCATCAATACAAGCAGGCAGTTAGAGAGTCTGACTTGCTGCATTGAGAGAATCATTTAAATGAGTCGACTAAACTCACAGCGGGACACATGAATAATTGGCTTAATCACAATTTATCTTGATTTTCCTGACCCTTTTTACCTTTTACGTTTTCTCCTTTCCCCCGTGTTCTGCTCAATCTCTCAGGTTTCCGTGGTCAATGCATTGGACATGCAAGTTGTTGTGTCCACTGTCCCTCCCACTTTAGTGGAAGAGAAGAAGGAGGAGCTCATTAGGTAAGAAAAGAGTCATCTTTCTTAGAAAAACTGGAAGTCAAATCATGTGAAGGTATTTATTGGTAGTTGGCATTTAGGCACAAAAATACTCGAGTACAATTCAAAAAAGTTAACAATTTGATCTTCAAAGATCAAGATTTGGTATTTTTCGATTGTAGCATGTTGTTGCTAGTCAACTTTTATATAAACACTATGAGGCGTCAAAGCACCTTAACCTCTGATGATAATGAGGCCCGACAGAGTGGCACCACAGCTTTTTGGAAGCAAGGTTGGAACAAAAAGGGCTTTCAGGTCTATCCACTGGAGTCTGTTCTCCTAGGCCAAATTAATTAATAATAGGCATTCATGATTCATCTCTTTTTTCCAGCACTTGGGGCAGAGTATTTAACCAAATTAGTTCATCTGAAAAGCAAATGTGTGCTTGTAGTTGTTTTCCAGAGGCCTACTGTGTCTCATCCACACAAGTAACACTTCTGTTTAGATTGTGGGGGAAAAAACATAGCTCTTTAGGCAGTTTGTGATTTTGCACAGTGCTGAGTTGAAATTGTTGTGATCCACAACTATTTCAGATCAATAGTTAAAAGGTGTACTCACTTTACCACACAGTAAACCCTTTTGTTCATAGATTTCTCCTTGCATGAAAATGGTTTTTAGGGCCTTATTTTGTCAAAAGCCCAAAGTGGAGAGGAAAATTACTTTTGATTAGGACAATCACTGCCAGAGAGCAGTACTTGGGATTGATGGGTATCATAGAGCTCATGGCATGATGTTGTCAGATTTGATTTAAAATAAATATTAACCCAGTTCTTGCTTATATAAGCTTATATAAAGGTGTATTCACGCCAGCCCTGTTTAGTCCTCTTTAATCGAACTCTAGTGTTTTTGCCTCCCCGGTTCATTTGGGAAGGTGTGAAAGCATAATCAAACTCCGATGCGAACTAAAAAAATATGAACTCCAGTCCACTTAAAAACCTAGGTCTCAGTTCGGTTGAAGTGAACTCTGGTGCAGTTTGATTGCTTGTGTGAACGCCAAGCAGACCGCTCCAAAAGCAAGAAGCAGGTCATTCTGAGTAATAACAGTAATAAAGTTACTCATATCTTCTAAATACCTTGCTTGACATCTGTATAAGGTGGACATCCCTGCTGTGAAGTTGGATGTGCTCCTACTCAGTGAATGCTGCCCCATATGGAGCCGTTTCAGCTGCCTTGTGTGTGGAAAAACAATATTCTCCACGTTTCCACCTCATCTTCCACTCAGGCTGAGCTTATTGTTGAAGACCATTAGCTAGGCAAATTTGCCAAAAGCAAAAATCTAACATCACTTCATGACATGTTGGTTTACATTTTGTGAAGACGGAAGTTGCGTTCCATGTCTTCTTCAGAGGTTTTAGTGTTGATTCCTTCACTGGTTCTTGATGCAGCGCCACCACAAGTGACAGACGAAACTGGCTGTTTACAGAGTTCGGTTCATTTGACAATGTGCAGTGTGAATGTAAACTGCACCAACTGAAAATGTAAACAAGTGTTTCAATTTTAGTCCCCAACCAAATCTACCAGATTATCAGGTGTGAATACAACCTAAGTCTAAACCATTGATCTATATTACTGGATTGGACGTCGCCTATAGCCGCTATAGTTAGCGACCACCGTCACAGGAACCATTACTATGCATTGAGTCATGTCAACAAAACGGTAGAGTTTCAATGCGAGATGCGCATCAATCTGTCACAAAAATATTCATAGCACCCTCATTTCTTATCCGATTTCTATAAAGTATGGCTTAAATTAAAGCTGAGAAAATTGCCGATGTTGTGATATGTAAAAAATGTATTTGCTCAAGAGATAAATCTATAAGCAGTCTGGAAACTTTTCATTTTAGGTTTTTGCTAACATATTTACAGTAGAAGCCCCTTTCAGTCACATAAAACTAAGAGTCATGTGTGTCATATATACACTCACCGGCCACTTTATTAGGTACACCACGCTAGTAACGGGTTGGACCCCCTTTTGCCTTCAGAACTGCCTCAATTCTTCGTGGCATAGATTCAACAAGGTGCTGGAAGCATTCCTCRGAGATTTTGGTCCATATTGACATGATGGCATCACACAGTTGCCGCACATTTGTCGGCTGCACATCCATGATGCGAATCTCCCGTTCCACCACATCCCAAAGATGCTCTATTGGATTGAGATCTGGTGACTGTGGAGGCCATTTGAGTACAGTGAACTCATTGTCATGTTCAAGAAACCAGTTTGAGATGATTCCAGCTTTATGACATGGCACATTATCCTGCTGAAAGTAGCCATCAGATGTTGGGTACTGTAGTGGTCGTAGTGTAGTGGTTGGAGTATCTCTACAGTACATTGTGGTCATAAAGGGATGGACATGGTCAGCAACAATACTCATGTAGGCTGTGGCGTTGCAACGATGCTCAATTGGTACCAAGGGGCCCAAAGAGTGCCAAGAAAAGATTCCCCACACCATGACACCACSACCACCAGCCTGAACCGTTGATACAAGGCAGGATGGATCCATGCTTTCATGTTGTTGACGCCAAATTCTGACCCTACCATCCGAATGTCGCAGCAGAAATCGAGACTCATCAGACCAAGCAACGTTTTTCCAATCTTCTCTTGTCCAATTTCGATGAGCTTGTGCAAATTGTAGCCTCAGTTTCCTGTTCTTAGCTGAAAGGAGTGGCACCCGGTGTGGTCTTCTGCTGCTGAAGCCCATCTGCCTCAAAGTTCGACGTACTGTGCGTTCAGAGATGCTCTTCTGCCTACCTTGGTTGTAACGGGTGGTTATTTGAGTCACTGTTGCCTTTCTATCAGCTCGAACCAGTCTGCCCATTCTCCTCTGACCTCTGGCATCAACAAGGCATTTCCGCCCACAGGACTGCCGCTCACTGGATGTTTTTTCTTTTTCGGACCATTCTCTGTAAACCCTAGAGATGGTTGTGCGTGAAAATCCCAGTAGATCAGCAGTTTCTGAAATACTCAGACCAGCCCTTCTGGCACCAACAACCATGCCACGTTCAAAGGCACTCAAATCACCTTTCTTCCCCATACTGATGCTCGGTTTGAACTGCAGGAGATTGTCTTGACCATGTCTACATGCCTAAATGCACTGAGTTGCCGCCATGTGATTGGCTGATTAGAAATTAAGTGTTAACGAGCAGTTGGACAGGTGTACCTAATAAAGTGGCCGGTGAGTGTATATAATTCTAATTTTACATTTGTTTCCTGGTTCTTCATTCGCGCTGAAGTTATGGAGTTTTTTACTCTGATATATAATCATAAACTACAGGATGTACCATATGCTGACTGGACAGAACATCAGTACCAGTAATATCTACACAGTTCAGCCTAGTAGTAGCAAAGGTAATGTTACTGTTGTCCATTAAATTTACCTCTCACAATGTTATCCTAACGTAATAACAATATTAATAAAAATATAATAAATTGTTGGAACAACAAAATTGTCTTTTCGTTGGTTTACCCGACGTAAGGTTGTCAAAATCAAGCTAGCATAACTGACCTACTTTCCACATCGCTGACATTTTTTAAAATAAAAATATTTTAATGACCTGTAAAATGTGATAACCTTGACCTTGTGATCTTGTTGTTGTAGTGTTGACAACTTATGGCAAAATATTGCATCCTTTTTTTGATATTCCTTGCATGACTGTCTGCTGCATCTCCTTTTTACCACCATTCATGGATGTTCCCGAGTCAAAACTCAATGCCTAGCAATGGATCCTGTGCGGCGCACGATTAATCACGTGATGTCCAATCCAGTTATATAAATCAGTGGTCTAAACATTAACAGTTCTTCCTTTTTTTGTACTTCTATCTAAAAATGTTTTTGATTTTTTGGGTTAATTTCAGTATACTGGAGCGCCATGTCCAGGACCAGATTCCCGGTGCCAAGGTTATTGTTGAGTCCATTGGACCGCGTCGTTATGGTGACGGCTATGAGTTAGAGGACTACAGTAAGTCGGACCTGATGGTGTACGCCATTGACCCCCTCACCAACAGGGCCATTTCACCACTGGAACTCTTCAAGTGAGTGGCTAAAATTTATTACAGAGAAATCCACTGTACCATTTTGTTGTGAAATTGATGTCTTATTGTCCCTGCTGTGCTACATGTTGTCTCTATAATACCTATTTACTTTTTTAACCCCAAACATTAATACTGTAACTTTTTCGGGCTCCCCTTGGCATCTCCACAATGTCTACAATCCTTTCTTTTTCATGACTTTGATTATCCTGCAGGCGTACAATCTCTGTCAATAAATGAAGATACAGAATTGAAGGGAGGAGGATGGAGTGAGGTCAGAGGGGGGACAAAGTGGGAGTCTAACAGGGAGTGTTTCAATCAGTGCATCAATCCATCATTCCAATACCTTAGAGGCTGTTCTTGGAGCTGGGAGAGATGCCAGCAAAACATTTTATTTCTTTTATTTTAGGATGCAAAGTGCTTGGGGGCTGTCTGTCGGAGACAGTCTGCAAAAGTAACAAAAAGAGGCAAAACTTCACAAAAAGTGCCTGCCATCAACTTTGTCAAAACCATCAGATGAAAAGAAAAAGAAGTTGGCCTTAAGTTGGCCGGGAGTGTCTTGCACTTAACATTGTCATGCTCCCTATCCTGTCTGGCCAACCAATCAAACAGTTCTCTTTAAAAGCTGCCTCCACCAGAGCATGAGAGCTACCGATCAATGGAAACACTTCTCACTCAATCACCCCTTCATGCTGCTTACCTTTCGTTTAGCTACCTGGCAGCAGCACCTCTATTTATTTCTTTTAATCCAGGGTTACTGTAATTTCTTTTGGTCACCCCGAAGAAGCCCGCTTTACCTTCAAAGGGACACGACTTGCTCTGTTCATTTAGAAAAGTGACATTCAGACATGTTTTATGTTGGATTGCTCTTTGTGCATTGTCTTTGTGTCCTTGACCGTCTAATGTGGCACCACACTTTTAAGGATGGAACTGAGATTGGAGCCAACAGGAGGGCGGATCTTGTGCTGTAAAAACTTTTCAACCAACGCACCGTTTTGATGGTGCCTCCGAGACAGTCTAAGTAATTTGTAAAGAAATTTGCCATATTCCTGATTTAATCAGCATCCATTTCTCCACATAATGTCAGGAAAATCATATAAATTAGAGCCATAAAAGTATTTATGCATGCAGCACGTCAGGATTTGCTGAGGGGTAATTGCATCTTTTAGAGCTTCAACTCTGCCGTTGTATCACAGAGGGGGGACGGCCTTGTTAGTAGGATTTTGCTTCACAACCTGTCCCTCTTCCACCTTGAATGCAGCACTCGCTTCCATTTCTCTCTGGAGAATATTTTGCCAGAGTCCAGTTAATAACCTTCATTTACTCCTATTTATCCACCTAAAGAAAAACAGAAATGACGGTAATTGGGCATGGCAGTGTGCTTACTTCTTTGTAATGTGGAATGTTTGGGAAACTGTTGCGTTGTATTTACTTAGTTTCATAAATGATACTGAAACAACAGCAGGTGGAAACATATTCATTGTACCAAAGAGTAATGTTAATTCTGCTATGAGTCTGAGAGAAAAACACACTATAGGTGTCAAAATCTCTTTTTTTGATTTGCATTTAAATTTAGGAATACATTTTTATGATTAGTGTCAAATTATTACAGCTTATGTTTTAGTATAAAGTATGCAATTATATAAATTATGTCAGTCACCTTGAAATGATTCGCTCTCAGGAAATGAGACACTCAGACCCGTGGTAACTTGCATATCTGGCAGCGCGAGTGGCAGAAAAATAAATTGTGCAAAAATGTATTGGAAAATGATTAGTCTGGGTACATTTTTGCTGGCCCTCAATCTCATATAAATCTAATACTCAGTTTAATTTTGGATTGGTTTGCTACCAAATACTGTGTGAAATATTTGTCATTAATGCTCTTTTATCAACTAACAGAATGTTTAGTAAGGCAGTTATATATATTGAGGTGAAACTAAACAGGACAAAAATTATGAAAATTTGTGTTTAGTAGATTGTTACTTTGTTGTGACAATGCTTTTTGGCAATAAATATTTTACAGTTGGAAAGTCTAATGTCCCTTTTAAATGGTGTTACATTTGTTGGGGACCTGTGATTGTGGGATGAGCAGGAAAGCTGAGTATGTGGGTTGCACACACAAAAAAATAGCCAAATCCTCTCTGCCATTGCCAAACAACTCACTTTCTTGTTGCTGTTGACACTTGTTTTGAGCTTCTGGTACCCCCAGGTACTGCCAATCAGGTGCCCAATTAGCAATTTCAGTGTAGAGACTACCACCAGTATTTAGGAGTGCGGAGGATGGGATGGCCTGTCAGCAGTCCTGACCTCGAGGCCATTGAACAATTATAGGATCAGCTTGGGCTTGCTGTTTGTGCCACATTGGCTGACTTGCAACAAATTCTGATTGAAGAATGGGACGCCATGCCACAGCAGTGTGTTGGCAGACCGGTAACCAGCATGAGGAGGAGGTGCCAAGCTGTTGTGGCTGTGTATGGTTCTTCCACATGTTCTTGTTTGTGAAATGAATAAATGGTTCAATTGCCAATATGTCTTGCTTCTTCAAACTTCAGTCATCCAATCCACCAATCACCAAACAAGTCAATGGCAGAATAAACTGGTTGGCGATGGCAAGGAGGATTTGGCTAATTTTCTATGTGCACAACCCACATATTTAGCTCTGCTGCTCATTCCACAAAAGCATTTTCCTTACAACATGTGGCACCATTTAAAGGGGAAATTAATAGGCTTTCCAGTGATGTCCTTATTTTTTGTGATAAGTTTTGTTTTAAACCCACTGAAGAAAACTTTCTATTTGGATGAAAAACTCCTTGTAGTTCTCTTGTTCTATTTTCATGTTGTTTGATTGTTTTATCATAAAAAAACAATGCCAAAGTCACAAAATTTCTAAATACATTTAACGCTGCTCATTGAAAATGGCATTTTCCCTCTTCGTTCTAATCATCTTATGAATTTCAGATTTCTTGACGGCAATGTGCTGGACATCAATAAAGAGTTCCAACCACACCTGGGCGAGGGCGGCCGAATTCTTGAGATCCGCTCACCAGACGTTGTGGCCAGTGTGAAGAAGGCTGCCCAGGCTGTAGGGTACACAGAGGGAGCTCTGCTGGCACTGGCCATCATCATCATCCTCTGTTGCATCCCTGCTATCCTCATCGTCATGGTCACATACCGACAGTCAGTACTCTTTCTCTATTATTAATTGCTGATTTTTACAGTTTGCTCCTAAAAACTACTACTACTACTACTACTAATAATAATAATAATAATAATAATAATAATAATAATAATAATAATAATAATAATAATAATTACCAGGTTGTCAGAAAAATCTAAGGGGAAAATTAATTACAACTAAGCAGATCCCTGTCTTGGGAGTTATTGTGTTGCACTAATGGTTTTAGCCAAAAGGTTTCTATTCCAAAGAGAAATCAGATATTTATAATTGGAATGTAAACCATTCTTTACTGCTTGCACCCTCCGGCCTGTTAGAGCAGAGCCAGAACATCCTACAAATCTTATTGAAAAGAATGTTTGTTGTGGATTTAGGGAACACATTTCCTGCTCTACTGCCACTTTTTTGTGTGTGTGTGTTTGCATCTCTTGCCATGAACCTCTCTCATCAGACATGCTGACTGCGCACTCTGCTGGGCTAATCTCCTGCTCATGCTCTGTGAAAGCTGATTAATTAACACTCATTTGTGACAAACATCTACAGCCAATTGTGATCGTCACAGTGCGTCTTCTCACTTCTTAATCAACTCTGCCCTGCGCACCCGCAATAATTTGCGGGGTTTTTTTCTGGTTCCATCCCTCCCACTGACACACCGCAGTTTGAACAAAATGTGATGCTTTTTATAAAAAAAAAATTACATTGATGAAGTAAAAGGTTGGCAAATGTTTAGTCCTAGCAGATGGGTAGAGTAGTTGTCCACACACCAATGTGCAGACCAAATACAACAGAAATACTGTTGATTGGTGACATTAGACCCTGAAACACAAACTGTGATAGCAGATGGCACTTTGTTGGTGATGACATTACAATGGGAAAAGTTAATTTTCTCATTTGTGTTTGTCAAACTAATTTAGTGTTCCGTTAAGCTGAAATCCACTATGATCTTTTACACATCAATTTGTTCAGTCATGTGGAATAATTGAATTCTGCTGTTAATAAGCACTGGCAATGGGAAGCGTATGAGGTTTGCTTTAGCTTTTGTAACATGTGGCTCAACACATGCACCTGGAGATTTTTGAGGGTTTCTGTTTAGGTAGAGATTGAGTAAACGTACCATTTTGAGCTAAATAAGTAAATATGGGTTTTATATTTACAATGAATTTCTTAGTATGCTTTTATTTGGCATTTCTAAAACATCAAAACTGTGTAAACGATTGTTAAAATTGGAAGCCCGAATCATGCCCAGAAAACCAATTCTCAGTTGAATGTTTATTTTCAAATCTAAAGACACTATTTTACTTCTGAAATGTGGCTCTGAAGACATTAAACAAAACAGTCACAAATCATGTGTTCTTAAAATGTTAATATTAAACCTGGTCACTCCCTCTGTATGATGTCATAGTAACCAATGAGTACCCCTAAAACAGGTAAAACATTATGTGTTTACACTGCTGGAGAGAGGCACATGTCACTCTAAATAGAGATCTGTTGATTCTCTTATCGTTTAAAGTAAATGATGATGATCTATAAAATAAGTTTGTATATGAAATTTTGTTATTCAACCACAAAATATCCAACAAGTGTATAAAATTATATTAATGCCAATATTTTTATGATAAAAACTAATTATATGTTTGCATTTTGTCTCATTTTTTTCTCTCATATCTTTTTTCTTGCATCAACAAACGTCATCAGATTCAAGGAGTAAGTATGGTTTTGTTTTCTTTACTTTGTTTCACGTTCAAAGTACATTTTCTCCTGCCTTCATCATTCATTACTTATTTAAAGCCTGATTAGTTGTTGCGACTGTGTCACGAACGTGAAATGTAAGCTTATTTCCACGTCACTTACATAATGACATGAAACAGCACCGAGTCTACTTGTGGATTACAGACCTACATGTAATATGGCGGAGCAGTTCTTCTCATGTGGAAAATCCAATAAAATTCAAATGGGGAAATAAACAGAAGACTGTTTTGCTTTGTCAAAAACTGTTGATCTGCCACGTCATTTGTTAGGAGTCATATGGCTTCACCGCAAGCAGAATAGGGTTTATATATACATATATATA